ATTGCTTTCAAGGGGGAAATACCACTCATTCTTTGTGACTGACTGTCACAATACTCTGACTTAATCCCGTACAAAATGCCCAGCTCAATATAATTGTAAGAATTCAGGGCAGCATCTTTCTGTGGCAGTTTGAGCAGTAAACTTATTTGTTTGTATGTGAGGGACTGTTAGTTCTCAGAGCACAGAAGGTTTTATTAAGAAGATGACAACAATTTCTGATTTTCAGATACCCATGTTTTCAAATCCAAATGTTGTGGATTTCCAGTGCCCCTACATCATGTTCAGAAAATGGAGTAATACAATTCTCCATTTGGTGGCTCTTGAGAGCAGGATATTATTGTACTTCTATTTTGGTAGAAGTATTTATTTACTCAGTGTCTTTCATCTTCTACATTGACCTGTTCTGTAATGACCTATCTACCACTCTTTCCCATACATATTCTCACTGTGCACACCATCCTCCTTTCTAATTGTCTCTGGATGTGCTTGAAAGCATTCATACCTATTGCTGCTCTGCCTGGAGCATCCTTTCCGTGCATATTCCCCTGGCTGACTCCACTGGAAACTTTCAATTTTACCCAAAGGCCTATTGAAAATTATACTCCCTCCTGAATACTTTCTATACATTTTCTTCCTTTATATATTTTCCAGATCATTTATATCGTAAAACATCCCATTTTATTTATTTCTCTTATTACCTATTTTCCCACTTCTATAATAAACATCCCATGAAGACAAAGATTTTTGTCTCTTTTCTGTACTGCTATATTCTCTTGCCTTAATGTAGTTACTCAGAAATCATTAAGTAAACAAACAACTTTTCCATGAGAAATATCCAGTTGAAATGACCAATATACTATGCTTTGGGTCTAGGAGAACTTGTTTCCAGAACGGGGATCAGTTTACCAGTGGAAAGAGTAACAGTGTCAGTAAACGCAGAGCTACAGCTGTTGCCTGATCATCTATCAGTCTGTGCTCCTTATATTGACAGAACAGAGAAAGAGAGAGAAAATGAGTTCAATGTTGATGGGGTAAATATAAAGTTCCCTGATGACCGTGAAGAAAGACCATTTCTAAAGTTCTAGATGCTGTAGGAATCCAGAACGTTGATCAGATATTCCCATGATCCATTGGGGCATCTTGTGGAATTCCCGTGCCCAGTTATAACTACCAATGCATAAGTAAAGCAGCAAGAGATTGGTAACCCAGGGCTCAGAATTTTTAGTAAAACATTAGGAAAGCCTCCTAGATGAGCAGAAGTGTTAGCAAAAAGAGAGGAAAATCTAGAATGGCTGGGGGTAGGGTGTACAGACCATGAGCACCAACTACATTAATGGTACTCTCACTATTCCTCTTCAAGTAAGTCTTCTTGGAAATTGTGACCAACCAAAATCTTGAATAAGCTTTGCCTGGATGGAGTGACCTTCAGTGAGACACAGACAGAGCTGAGGACAAAGACTGCTTCTGGCACACTATCAAAATCCTTTAGGGATGTGCAGCTTTCCTCCACGTGCTGTGAATGTTCTCTGATCACAGTCCACAGCTGCCCCCTTCTTTAGAGACTTACCTTCTGCTAAAGACGAGCCACTTCCCTAGAGAGGCTATTCCTTACCATGGGGAATAGGCAAGTAGCTAATGGACACAAGGGTAGACAAGGTCATCTATCTTGCCTCAAGGAGGGACCATCTCTGTGGAGCAATTCATGTTTCAGAGATTCCCCATAGGAGCAGATTGGGTGATTCTCCAGCTGAGACTCTATTTGTGCTTAGTTTACATCTCCTGCCCTAGCTTGCTTTGCTTGCTCTCATTCTCCTGAGAGCACTCTTTCAATAAATCACGTAAATAAGAATTCCTGACTTGGCTCTGCTTCCAAATGCAAATTGTCTCTGAAAGAATACATTGTAATGACAGGCCTTCAAAATTCCCACAAATACAATTCTGATGAACATGAGCTTATAATTTTAAAAAAAAGCCATAAAATAAATTAATTATCATGAGTGAAAGTCACTAGGAAGGAAACACAAAGTCGTATCAGATAGAAATATATGTTATGTAGTAATACTTTTAAAAACATGAAAATGAAAACCTATCAAAAGTTTGCAGATTAGGAAGAAAAAAAGACATAATTTTGGTAACATATAATAAATAAAATCAAGACTTAATATGTGCATTAAATAGTAGATTAGACCCAAGGGAACACAGAATTAGTGTGGTAGAATAAAAATGTGAATAAATATCCCAGAATAGAATAAAGCACAGAGAGACTTGAAGGTAAAAAAAAAAGTATATGTAAAATAAAGGTTGAAATACATAGAGAAAAGAGTGAAAAATCTGACATATACCTAGCACCTAGCCAGGATTCTAGTTTAATAGAGACAGTGGTGGGTGAACAAACTACATTTCAAGAGATGGTGCCTATAGTTTTTCAGAGTTCATGAGAGACACCAATCCAGAGACTTGGGAAATCAAATAAATCCCAAATTGTGTATGTAAAAAGCAATTCACTAGTACATATATTTCATGGTTATTTGGAGCAAGACTGCCTAGATTGGAATCCCAGCTCCTAACTGGGCAACCTGGGACAAATTGCTTCACTTGTCTTTGTCATAGTTTCTGATCTCTAAAAATGGTTTTAAAAATAATATCTATCACATAGATGGTTATGAGATTAAATGAGTTGACATCTTTAATGCTCTTTAGTGCTGTTGAATTTCTAATATTCATCTTTATTACTTTTATTTTGAATGCTCACCCAGGTGTTCTGGATCAGAAACTGATTTCCTACTAATTAACTCACAATAAATAGAAAGCGAGCTGGTCTGCCTTGCCCTAAGCCTTAACCCTGATGAAAGCCAAGCCAAATGTCATACATTAGTAGACGAACTTTCTATAGATGACTGACAGAGAACAATGGATTCTTTTCATTTATATACAGGAGAGAGACAACCATTCCCCTTCCCCTCCTGAAAGGGAAGCAGAATATTTTGCTCTGTTGAGATCCTAGGTTTTTACCTTAAACATTTAGAATTTAACTACATCCTTCCACAGGCCAGATACACCAAACGGGTCTCCAAAGTCTGGGCTTTGTACCTAGGGAGATAGCAGCCCAGCCTTTCTTGGATGGTAAGCACACTAATAATCATTTTATAAACATTCCCTACAACTTACATATACACAACACTTATTATTTTATGCATAAAATAGCTCAAAACAAAAAGGATATTTTGTGCAGAAAATATAAAGAAAAGAAAGAAAAAGGAACAAAAGGAAGAAAGATGGAAGAAAGAAAACTTTCATAAAACCTTCATCCAAAATATCAGAGGCAGCATGGAAATGTAAAAGCAAAACAACAGAAAATTCTATCTTCTATGATGTACCAGGTCTGGCGATTTGTTTTCTAACATGATGTGTAATTTCTTATGTTCAAGGACTAGTTTCTTGGCAAGAAGTGAGAAAAGATCTTAGTTTCAGAGTTAGCATAGAACATAACACAATTTAAATGTCTTAAAGTCGCTTTAACAATGATATGCAATATATATCGTGAACAGTTTTTATGAGAGATCCTCTAAGAGACCCCACCATTTGGCTTTGGACATGAGAAAGTATATTCATCATGAACACTTGCTGTGCCAGCCTGATGCCCACAATTCCTATCATTTCCCCACTCCTCCGAATTCTTCTTTCATAAGCTGGGAAGAGCCACTAAGGTGACCATCAGAAAAATTAGGATGGGGTGTGTTTTCTTGTTAAGTCCAAGGCAGGGCTTGGCCCTAATGGATTGTAGCTCTTTTAAAAGATGCGTATTTAATACTACTTTGACCTTTTGTCTGGTTTGTTTTTGCCCATTTGAGATCACAGGGACTGTCCTCCTCAACATCTTTTTAATTTCACACTGATAAAAAATATTAAAGAGAATTTAAAGTCTGATTTGTGGATCAGTATGTTGTATTAATGAAAAAGAAGAAAAATATATGGATACATATTCACACAAACAAAAATACACTGTAGGTAGAAAACAAGATAACAAAATATGAAGAAACTCTTCATAAAATTTTATTTTGCAAGATGTCTCTTCCTGATTTTAAATACAGGGGGAAGACATTAGTTTTATAAGCATCAGTCCCACACACCAAGTATTTTCTCTCCCTGGTGTTAATGTTCCATGTAATGCTAATTAAATGGACATGTGTAACTAATACAAGTGTTACAGAATTCAAAGCAGTCTTAATTCCCCCTTCACCCAAAAATAGAATGAGAAACTAAGTTGTTAGTCTCTAGACTTGATAGTGGGAAGACAACTAAATTACATTTTACAGAAAAATCTAAATTGATTTCTCATGAATATTTGATTATGATAGGGACAGTTCAGAAATAGCCCCATTTTAATTCATATGGAAAAGTAGTTATTTATCATATTGAGTCGTACGGCCAAGAAAGAAGGCAGAAAGAATGTAATTGTGAGCTGTCAAGCTTAACACATATGTATAGAGCAAACATTCTCACTCTGTTGAGTGGCAGAATTGAGCCTGCTGAATTATAATACTAGGGGCAGTGTCCAAATGGTGGTCAAAGTGGTACTCTGATGTAAAGAAACATGGCCCACAAAAAACATGGAAAGAAAATTTACCTTTAGACATATTATTAAGATACATATCATTACAGATACTTTCTTTACCAGGATAAGTGCAATCTGAAACTTATCTTTATTACATGCCAAATCAACATTTTATTATCACTATCTAAAAAGGGAAGGAAAGGCAGAGGTATATTTCCATATTCTTTGAACACTATTTGCAGAAATGATAGTAATCCCGAAAATTTTTGTTTCCCTATCAAAGCCATCTTAAAGATAACTCTGCATTATTACTTAAAGAAAATGGCCAGAGGTGAATCTATACCTACTAAAATTTAACAGACCAATGGACACAAAACATAACAGTCTGTGTTAAGGGCAGTCATCATCCACAAAGAATTGAGAAAAAAAAAACAGAAAAGCTTACCTTTATGATGGTTTGCACTGGATACAACTTTCCCCCACAAGGTTACAATAAATATTATTATTAGCAGTTTTCCTTTTGTTGCTTTCTGTAAGTATCTCTTACTCATCCTGGAAATAAAAAAAAAAAAATCCTAAATATGAAAATTCGTAGCTTTTCCATTATAATTGTGCTGCATTTAAAGCTCTCTTCTATACTTTAACCCCTTCAACTCTTGAAAACTGTCTTTCTTATATTTAAAATGCTGTTCACTGTATACAAATGACGATCAGAGAAAATAAAGGTTTTTCAAAGTACCTTGATATGATGCAAGAAATAAGCAAAGCTCTGCCTCAGTCAGTGTTCGTCCACTTAACCATATTCTAAATCAGTCTGGAAATATTACCATATTTCTCTCCATATAAACATAGATTTAATTTATTAACAAAATCCAAGGCATGGTCATTTGAATAATCTTTAAATTAATGATTTATTATTTTACTTTTTTCCTAACAATTGCCAAGTCAAATGGACAGTGTAACAGTTTAGATGTAATTGCTTAGATGAAGTCCCGCACAGAATATGGTCACTTCAGACCTATTAATGTGCTTTTTAAAAATCACCTGGCTATCTACATTCCTTACTGCAAAGTAACCTCATCCTCCTAATGTGCACAACTCTGCTACAGGCGACACAATATTGTGAGATTCCACCTTGGTGTACATTCCCAAAAGTAAGAGAAAAATGAAAAAACAGAATAAAAAAATACCGAATCAACCTTTTCATGTTGAATTCATAAAAACAAGGAAAGCAAAAACTGTTATTAAAAAATAATACATATTTATAATAAAAGTTCAGAACTTACTTTCTCCAGCACTTTCTACAACATACTTTTCACTTGTTCTGAAAAACAACTTTGGCCTGTAGGTATATCCATCCCCATTTTGTAAATGAGGAAATTTGGAAATTTGCCTGGGCCACATGTAATGACTGAATAAAAATAGAAACCCAGAATGGTCTAATTCTAAAATTCTTACATTAATCACTAAGGGATAAGCAAAACTGATATGAAATTAAGTCCATCTCCATTTGTTTATGAGGGACATAAAATGTGTCTGTCACCCTGTGCCTTTCCAATTTAGATACTATACTGAACTCCATTGTGACTGCAGATTCTTGCCTGTCTTGCTTTTAAAGCAATTTCCTGGGGTCACTTCCTGATGTAGCCTGATTCCTTTTTCTCTTATATTTTCTAGGTTACCCATTTTTGTACATTTTTACCTCCAGAACATTCTATCTCCAAAAATGTGACTCAAAGGTAGAAAGGGCAGTTATACATTTTCAAAGAGGGGTCCTTGAGATTTTTTCATGTATGACTAAATGCATGAAAAAATAAATGATATATTATGTATTTTAATATAGATGTATGTTAACAGGCCTTACCTTGTGGAGGTTGTAGGGAGTAATTCAAATGTTTAGAAGGCAATATTGTGTAAATCAAAACATGAACTTTTAAGTCAGGATGCCAGGGTTTGAGTCCAGACTTTACTGGATTCTAATTATGTGGCCTTTACCTGACTTTCCTTTGTTTGGATCTCCTGCTTCAGTTTCTCCTGCAAATTTCTGGATCTCCTGCTGCAGTTTCTTCTACTGTAACCTGGGATAATGTATGTGAAATTCCTGGCCCACTGTCAAGCATGTACTAAGGATTCAATGGCTGGCTATGATAGTTGAAAATATTGAGTAATTTGTATATGTTTGATCCTTGAGTGTTTGGGAGGCTAGTCCCATTCATGAGATGACTGGAGTTTCAGTAGCACCCACAGCTGTAGCCTCTCTGTGGACCTTAGCCTCATAACATGTCAAAGAAAATGTAAAAGATGATAGGTATTTGAGCTTTCAGATTAGACTGGGTTTTAAAACCAGGCTTCCTGCTGACTATATGACTTTGAACAAATTACTTAATAATTCAGATTATTTCACTGTCAGTAAGATGAAGATAATAATATCTACCCAACAGTGTTGTTGGTATGAAGATTAAATGAAATAGTCTGTGTAAAAGATTTAATACTATGCATAGCAAATAATAAATGCTCAATAAATGCTAACTGTTACTATAATCATTAGTCAGTCAGACTAGCATTTTCTTAAATTCATTCTGTGAGGCACCAGATCCACAGATTGTTATTAAAGTATTAGTGAAAAATAAAGGAGGAAATATATTTGTAACATTCTGAGTTCAACCAATTTAACCAGATTTTTTTTAACAAGAGGCATATTGCCAAATGTGCTTTTTAAGAAACATTTTCCAGAAACCTCCTCCACAATGTAACACAGCACACTAGTGTCCTCAGGAAGCCTCTTAGGGAAATATTGAGCTATAACAATAATCTGGTTTGGAATTTATTCTCTGTAAACCAAATGTCATTTTAAATCTCCCATTCTATTGCCTTTGTTTTCTCTCTCAGCATTCTTAGTATTAGTGTTAGGAGTACTCGCTTTCCTTCTACATTTTTTTCAACCATCCTGACTCCCCTCTGCATCTAATCCCGGCAACCTTATTGCACTGCATGTCCTATAACAGAATGAACAGCAAAACTCATCTGACAGGAAGAGCTGCTTAGCGTAATTCTTGATAAGAGCTTCTCCCTAGCACATGGCCTCTACTACAAGGGCAATGACCCATCATTTTTCCATACCACTGTGTACCCACCCAATAGGATGACAGAACCGACAGCTGGTCAAACTGATAACTAGACATATGGAAACGGAAACACCCACAAAGTTGCCAGCCTATCAAATTAAAGAAAGAAAGGAGAATGCGGGTCAACATTTGGAAGGCTGTAAGAACCAGCATTTTCTCCTTTTCATAATACCGTCACTCCTGTCCAGTTTATTACCATGTTCCAGCCAATACTATCGCCAGAGAATCTCTTAAATGTATATTTTTATACCTATTACTACTGCAACGCTGCAATTCAGACCACCAAATTTTCTCACTGGCCACAGCATCCTAACTGGACATCTGCCATCAAATTACCCTCCTATGTCTGTCTTTTTCACAACTATATTTACAGTGTTTAGTAGGTGCCTGATAAATATTGTTGACTGAATGTAATTCACTCTCTATGCTATAGCCAAATGTCTCTATGAGCATAAATTGTCCTTGCTTAAAACCTTAACATGGATTCCCTTCTCTGTTCTGAACTGAAGGCCATCGTTCCTAGCAGGGTATAAAAATCCTGCAGCAGAATTTGTTTTTAAAGCTTTGATACTTTATGTCTCTAATCTCATTTTATGTCATTTTGTCCCATCTTGCTCTCTACATACACTCATAGTCTATTTTTAACCCTAGATAATTTCTCCAATGGCTTCCACTAAATCTTACCTCCATGTCACCTGAAATATGATAGCTATTCCCTCAATTCCCACCCACTCTTCAAAATGGGTAACTTCTACTCACTAGTCATGGGGCAAGTTAGAATTCCTCCTATAGGATTTATTCAAGACCATGTTGAGTGCCCTTCATTCTGCACAACAGTCACTTGCCATACCATATTATAATCCACCTACTTATAGTCAACCCTTATTCTCATATAAGATTCCTAAAGACAGAAACTGTTCTCCATACATTTGTGAATCTGTAGGACTCATCCAAAAGTCCAGCTCAATAGCTGGTATATAAGTACTTATTGAACGTTGGTGGTGCCTTACAGCCAAATATATTGCATAGCAGTCAACATGAGGAGGAGGAAGTATGTGTCACCTCTTTAGACAACAAATAGGAAGTGAAAAGAGTCGGGGGACTTGCAACAAGACACAGCAAACTGAAAAGGAAAAGAGAAAAATGAAATCCAATCTTGAATGTGTTTTAATCTGATTTTTAAATAACAATCATGTTTGAATAAAGTGAAACATAATAGAGCTATCAAGGATTTTTGACAAAGGGGCAATACCAAAGAAAAACACCTAAAGGGAAAAAGCTGAATGTGCATTTCTTTTTTACAATGCATGACAGCACAGAAGGAGCGACATTCTCTTCTTTCTCTATTTGCTAACCACCAGGTCTCAGTATAAAATTTCCCACCAGAGAAATAAGGAACGTGGTCCTGGGCTCCAACACAGTTTAGAACTGTCACATTCATTTGGGAAAATGGTAAAATTTAAGTGAATTTTGCAACCGCAATAACAGTGAAAAGAAACTGGAAACGGAAGGAAAATACGCATAGAAGAGGAGACCTTGAAATCGCTCCCAAGCAGCATCAGCTTGCAAGGAGCATAATGGAAATTGAGAAACAGTAACCTTGGCAGTGAAGGATGTTGAAGTGAAAAGCTGTCAAAGTGGAGGACTGACAATTAAATCTCCTGGACTTTCTCCTACTGTTCTCTTCTGTTACATATTTCACTCATGTATGCTGAGGTTTAGATTTTTGGATTGTTTGAAACACTTCTCATCCCACTAATGTTAAAAGTACATTTAATTGTTAAAAATCAAGAAATAAAAAACTGTTATGCTATAAGAAAAATCATTTCTCCATGAAAACAGAAAGTAAGTGTAGCTAGTCTATAAACAAAAACCTGGAAGGAAAAAAGGGGGGGAATAAAGGAGATAGTATAAAGGAGATGTATATAAAAGATAAAATGGGGGATTAGAATCCAACCACCTGGACTCCCATTGAGCCTAAGACACTTCTGTGGAAATAGAGATCACATAAGAGAAAAGATATATTTTTAAGTCTTTTTAGGACAATTCTGTACATTGGTCTATATATCTAACAAACCTGGTGTTAACTAGCTACAATGGAATGAACCTTAACAGACAAATCTTGAAAAGAAATCCACTCTTAGGGCAAAATGCTCAGTGGCTTAGTCACGTGCCCTTTCTCCTCATAGGGACCAGAATGATTGTTATAAAATGTAAATCAAATCACATTACCCCACTGGCCCTATCCTTTGCTTAAAATCCTGGAATTTACCTATTCATTGAAATGAGAATAAAATATAGATCTCTTACTGGAGAAAAAGCCCAACATCATCATCCCTCTCAACCATTCTGATTTCATTTCACATCCCTGTTCCCCACATTCCATGTGCTTCAGACACACTGGCCTTCACACTATCCCCTCTGCCA